TCTAAATTTTCTCCCTGCTTCTAAAATTCTTTTATGTCCTTTACTTATCTCAAATGAGAGGCTAAAAATAAGATAATGATATTGGTAACAATAACTTATAAAAACATAGCATGTATTTTTCCCTAAGGAATTTTCACTTTGTTTCCCTATTGAAAATATTGATCAAGAGATCTTGACATCAACAATCTAGAAATGAGTCCTATGCTGGGGTCGGAGTGAACCAAGGAGTCTGAGAGGACAAGTCACTGAGGGGACGACAACAACCAAAGGGCAGACTGGATTCCAGTTTGAGAAGAGAAGCAAAAGTTCAAAGTCAAGAAAAATTTGTCAAAAGTCAAGTTCTGCAGAGGAGGCGAGGCCGTAAAAGGGAGAGAAAGTCACGTTTCAAAAACGATCAGAGGGGCGCCTGGGTGGTGCAGTCGGTTAAGCGTCCGACTTCAGCCAGGTCACGATCTCGCAGTCTGTGAGTTCAAGCCCCGCGTCGGGCTCTGGGCTGATAGCTCAGAGCCTGGAGCCTGTTTCCGATTCTGTGTCTCCCTCTCTCTCTGCCCCTCCCCCGTTCATGCTATGTCTCTCTCTGTCCCAAAAATAAATAAACGTTGAAAAAAAAAATTTAAAAACAAACAAACAAAAAAAAACCGATCAGAAATAGACTGGGTATGAGAGTGGGAATAAAGATAGTGTCATGGTGGACCATATGAGGCTTTTCACATTCTATACTGGTTATCTATTGCTATATAACAAATTACCCTAAAATTAGCTGCTTGAAACAACAAACATTTATCTTCTCATACGCCTTCTCAGGGTCAGGGAGCTGAAATGACTTAGCTGGATTTTGTGGCTCAGGGTCTCTCATGAGGTTGCAATCAAACTGTTGTCTAGGACTACAGTCTCTGAATTCTCTGAATTCTTGACCAGGGCCGGAGGATCCGCTTCCAGGCTCACTCACATGGCATTGGCAGGTGGCTTCCTCTCCACCTGGGCTTCTCCATGGGGTTCCTTACAACAGGATTCCCCCGAGCCAAGTGATCTGAGTCAGATGCCCAGTCAGAGGGCAAGAAAGAGATCAAAATGAAACAGTAGTGTCTTAATGATGTAATGTCAGAAATGGCAGACAGTCACTTCCGCCGTAGTGTTCTGGTCACAAACACCAGCCCCAATACAACAGAAAGAGAACCACATGGGGGTGTGAAGGCCAGGATCGCTGGGACCATCCTAAGGGTTGGCTGCTAGAAGTCCCATGCTGCAGCCTATCTGTTTGGGGATAGCTTTTTATGGTGTCAAGGGAGAAAAACTCAGAGTGGACTTAACAGATGAACAAAAGCTTCACAGTGTTAGGAGCTAAGCTCAGGCTCAAAGGTAACCAATGCTAGGGGCTGCCAAATGAGGGGAGGTGGACAGGGCTATAGGCATGAAAAGAGCTAACAGAATACAGTAGAAGTTGTCAAACTTCTGTTTTTTTTTTTTTTTAATTTTTTTTTCAACGTTTATTTATTTTTTGGGGGACAGAGAGAGACAGACCATGAACGGGGGAGGGGCAGAGAGAGAGGGAGACACAGAATCGGAAGCAGGCTCCAGGCTCCGAGCCATCAGCCCAGAGCCCGATGTGGGGCTCGAACCCACGGACCGCGAGATCGTGACCTGGCTGAAGTCGGACGCTCAACTGACTGCGCCACCCAGGCGCCCCAAAGTTGTCAAGCTTCTTGTGGAAAGGTCTGGATAGAAAAGATCCCAAGCTTCATGGGCCCTACAGTCTCTGGTGGCAATTACTCAGCTTTGTGTTTGTGGTGTGAAAGCAGCCATAAACAACGTATAAAGGGATGAGTGCGGATGTGTTCCAATAAAACTTTCTTTGAGGACACCGAAATTTGAATTTCATATAATTTTCACGTGTCACAAAATATTATTATTTAGATTCTTTTTAATCATTTAAAACTGTAAAAGTCATTCTTAACCCATATGGCCTACCAAAAGAGACCGTGAGCCAGATTTGGCCAGTGGCCCTTGGTTTGTGGATCCAGAATGAATGTAGGCTAAGCATGACCTGACTGAAACATGAGTAATATGGCAAAGTGCTATTTTTCGATAAAAGTTTTAATCCTAGTAATGTGCTGAAGACCTAATGTGCCTCCTCAAGTAGTTCAAACTCAAAATATGTAAGATCCCCTAAAAATGTTCATTAGCGCCCTTAAACTCCTGCTGTTTTAGTTAGTAATGTTGGAGGAAATGGAACCAAAACCGGACATGGAGGAGACCAAGGTTTAATTAAAAACTCATCTCATCTGTTTTGTTCATTTGTTTTCTTTCTGAAATTCCATACAAAACAAACAAAGACAGGGCGCCTGGGTGGCGCAGTCGGTTAAGCGTCCGACTTCAGCCAGGTCACGATCTCACGGTCCATGAGTTCGAGCCCCGCGTCAGGTTCTGGGCTGACGGCTCAGAGCCTGGAGCCTGTTTCCGATTCTGTGTCTCCCTCTCTCTCTGCCCCTCCCCCGTTCATGCTCTGTCTCTCTCTGTCCCAAAAATAAATAAACGTTGAAAAAAAAAATTTAAAAACAAAACAAACAAAGACACAAACAAACGGAAAAAACAAAGACAAGCAAAAACCCAGACTCTTAAATACAGAGAACAAAGTGGTAGTTACCAGAGAGGGAGTGGGGCGATGGGGGGATGGGTGAAGTAGGTAAAAGGAATTAAGGTTACACTTACTGTAATAAGCCCTGAGTAACGTATAGAATTGTTCCATCCCTATATTGTACACCCAAAACTAACATAACACTGTATGTTAATTATACTTCAATAAAAAAGAAAAAAACCATCACATCATCTTTTAAAAATGAAAATCCAGTAACTGCTATGTAAATATTTCATTTGATCACATGTATTTGTTGCAGATCTTTTCCCCATATTTTAATAAAATAATTAAAAATAATTTAAGAAATAATTAGAGTGATGTATGCAATTTAAGCCAAATTTATTTCCCTAGGATAAGCAAAGAGTCATAGGAATTTGAGATCAAGAACTAATCTTTAAAGCCCTGAATTTTTGAAACCAATGTGATCCCCAAACAATAGACACTTTGAATTCATGAACCAATGATAACAGGAGAGCAGGACCATTCACTGAACATTTCCAAGTGTGCTATGATGGCTTAGGAGAAAGTTAGTGCTAATGTCTGAACTCTTGCTCTTCTGAATTTTATTTTATCTTTTATAAATACGAGGAATACAGTAGGAAAAGTTATTGTGCCTATTATTTGAATTTTCCAAATTGGAAAAAGAAATTGAATTGGTCTGTTTCCTTTGATGGTTACTTAGATTTCATTTTGAAAACATGCTGAATGCAGGTCCCTTTAATACAATAATAGACAGTAAACCATCTGTTGGGTAGTATCTTCCTAACGACCAGTGGCCTCAGAGCACGGAGCCTTCTCTACCATTCCCAGGGCAACTCATCTGAGAAGAAAAGACCTTGAACTGGCTAAATTGCCACAAAGCTCTGCCACCCCATTTCTCAGTCTCCTTCATTCATTCTTCCCTCCTTGATCCATCCATTCAAACAACTACTATTGTTTTCCCAGCCCTGGGCTCCACATAAGAGAGCTTCTCTCCAGTGCCAATCTGACCTAATCTCAGCAAGGCTACAGAGCCCTCATCTCTAATAAGACTTTTCTCACTTATGTAGTCAGAGAAACTCAATTCATCTGTTTGCTTTGATGTCACCTATAATAAAAGTCAGTGCCTTCTTCATTGACTTAATCTTTGTTGTTTTTAAATGTTCCTAGTCAAAACTAGGAAAAGCCCAATAGCACATTCTTATCCTGATTCACAAATGAACCTAGTATTTATATGCCTAACCTAGTACATATATGCTTACCAACTAATAAACTGTAGCATTAAATTAGGGGGGGAAACAGAAACAGGAAAAAAAATCTTTAAAAAAAAAAAAAAAAGATTTTATTTTTAAGTAATCTCTCTACCCAATGTGGGGCTTAAACTTACAAACCCAAGATCAAGAGTCACATGCTCTACTGACTGAGCCTGCCAGGCGGCCCCAGAAACAGTGCTTTAACAATTCTTTTACCCTAATCAGGGTGTCGCATAATAAAAAAAAAAAAAAAAAATAATAGGTCTCAGTTAGCTGGACAGCATTCTTAGTTCAGAGAATCTGTGCTTTTAAGTGGACAAAAGGACTGTCTGGGTATGCTGCCTGGTACTATTCTCACTTCTCACATCCAGCGAGCCAGCGTGATATGTCAAAGACGTGAGAAAACGTGCCGAGCTAGAATTGAGGACTCTGCTCTTAAAATTGTACAAGCATTGTCAGTTATCAGAAGGAGTTATTTTAGTTGGAGAGGCTATTGGAATGCCCTAAGGAAATCTTCTGATTCTTTGTTGATTTAATTTGGTCAGGAGATACACTGCTCTGTGAACCACTGACTCGACTTCATTCTTACGAGGTGGGGCAATTAGATAGAAAGAAAAGAAATGTACTCTTTGAAGGAAAGACCATGAAAAGGGACACTCCCTTGCTCGAACTCCTAACAATCCATTAGAGATCAAATGAAAGTTGGCATCTTTTATAATATCGGAGCGGGGATGGAGTGTGAGAAGACAAACACCTCTGGGTCATCGCTGCCTACCAGGCCCTCCATTTTCCCACGCGAGCCTGTGCGGCCATTAGCCCAATGTCCTCCAGCTCATTCTTCTTTCTGCCACATTCTGACCTCTGGAAAATTAGGTCCGTTACTACTTTGGGACATTTGTCCTAATGATAGTTCTGAACTGATTTAGATAAGAAAGAATGCATATAATTTTAAACAATTTCTTTTATCATGCATGATATATTTATCCATCGTCATAACTGAATGAGAAGAAGAAAGGGCGTTCGTCATCAAGTGAGGAAAGAAATATTTTCACCATTAGCAAAAAAGCTGTATATTTGGTAAGCACCTAACTGCATATCAAAGAGACTTACACATCTTGTTTCTTGTCTTTGAGGAGCTGCCCATTCTGAGAGGAAATCATGTAAATGAAACAGGAACTTTGGCATAAAGGTAATAAACCAATTCATGAATATGCAGTGCCTTATTTACATCAACTCCAAGTCAAAAATGATTTAAAGATAGGGATTATGAATAGCAGTCTATCTGGGGTAGGACTGGGGAGCTTGGGGGTACAATTTCAATTCTAGTCAAGAGGGAGAAGTTTTAAACTCTTTATAATCAATACAGAATTTTCCTTGACTGTGTACCTAAAACAGCAAACTATGATTCGAAATGATGACCCGAGAAAAGGGTCATCATAGTTTCTTCTTAGAGTCAAAGAGAAGACAGAGTCCCCTTCTTTTGCTCAGAGATGGCCTACTCTTGCACCTGGGGAACTCACCTGTGTGTACTCACAGACCCGAGGCTGAAAGCCTGAGGCTTTCAGTGTCTTAGACTGGATTTGGGCACAGTAGTTTACTCTGGGGGTGACCCTCAGAAGCAGACGTGAGGGGAAAAAAGTGGGCAAGACAGGAGGAGCAAGCCACTATGGGGTGTGCTATTGATTGCTTCTCTGGACTTTTAAGCTCAGCCTTATTGTAGGAAATGCCCTGAAGCCCCATGCGGAAAGTAACTCTAAGTCATAGCACCCAAAGATGGGAGGCTGGTCTATTCATTTATGACAAAGAAGCCAAGAATACACAATAGAAATGATAGTCTCTTCGATAAATGGTGTTGGGAGCACGGAGCCTGCCTTGGATCCTCTGTCCCCCTATCTACCTTCCCCTCCCCTGCTTATGCTCTCTTTCTCTCTCAAAACCAAATAAATGTCAAAAAAAAGTTAGGGCTGCCTGGGTGGCTCAGTTGGTTGAGCGTCCAGCTTCCGCTCAGGTTATGATCTCACAGTTCACGAGTTTGAGCCCCATGCTTCCATGCTTCATCTGGAGCCTGCTTCAGATTCCGTGTCTTCCTCTCTCTCTCTGCCCCTTCCCCACTTGTGCTCTGTCTCTCTGTCCCTCAAAAAATAAATAAGCATTAAAAAATGATGCTGGGAAAACTGAAGGGCCACATGCAAAAAGCCGAAACTGGACCATCTTACACCATACACAGAAATAAACTCAAAATGAATTACAGACTTGAACGTTAAGACCTGAAACCATAAAATTTCCAGAAGAAAACATAGGGGGTAAACTCCTTGACATGGATCTTGGAAATGATCTTAAGAATTTGACACCAAAAGCCAAAACAACAAAAGCAAAAAAAAAAAAAAAAAAAAAAAGAGGATTACTTCAAACTAAAAAGCTTCTGCACAGCAAATTTAATTATCAACAAAATGAATGGCAAACTACTGAATAGGAGAAAATATTTGCAAATCATGTATCTGATAAGGGGTTACTATTCAAAATGCATATAGCACTCATACAACTCAATAGTCAAAAAGCAAAACAAAACAAAATAAACCCAAATAATTCAACTGAGGAAGTGAATAGATGTTTTCCAAAGAAGACATACAGATGGCCAACAGACATAAGAAAAGATGCTCAACATCACTAATCACCGGGGAAATGCAAATCAGAATGACAGTATTACTTCATACCTGTTAGAATGGCTACAGCCAAAAACAAGAGATAACAAGAGTTGGAGAAAATGGAGCCCAGGAGCACTGTTGGTGGGGATGTAAACTGAGGCAGCCACTATGGAAAACAGTATGAAGGTTTCTCAAAGAAATTAAAAATAGAACTATCAAATGATGCAGGAGTTCACTTCTGGGTATATACCTGAAGGAAATGAAAACAGAGCCTCAAAGAGATATCTGCACTCCTGTGTTCATTGCAGTGTTATTTACGACAGCCAAGATATGGAAATAACCTAAGAATCTATCAATGGAGGAATAATGAAGATGTCACACACACACACACACACACACACACACACACACACACACACACATATACAGACAGTGGAATATTATGCAGCCATAAAAAGGAGGAAATTCATTTGCAACAACATGGATGGGCCTTGAGAGCATTATGCTAAATGAAATGTCAGAGAAAGATAAATATGGCATGATCTCATAAATACAGGAACCTTAAAAAAATAAATATAGAAACAGATTGGTGGTGGCTGGAAATGGGCAGGGGTTTGGGGGGAAGGTGAGAGAAATGGATGAAAGTGGGAAAAAGGTACAAACTTCCAATTATAAGATAAATAAGTCCTGGGCATGTAATGTATAGCCTGGTGGCTATAGTTAACAATACTGTATTGCGTATTTGAGAGTTGCTAAGAGAATCAATCTTAAAAATTTTTTATCACAAGAAAAAAAAGTGTATGTTCGGTGATGGATGTTAAACTTATTGTGGTAATCATTTCACTACATGTGAAATCAAATCATTGTGTTGTATCTCAAATCATTATGTTGTAAATCTAAAACCACTATAATGTTACATGTCCTTTATATCTCAATAAAAGTTGAAGAAAAGCAAACATAGGAGGCTGGGCATTATCAATTAGGTTCTATCTTCTGTTACTCTGGGGTGGCTTCTGAAGGCATTAAATCCCTCGAGTTTTCCAGCTACGACGTCCCCTCCTGAGTGAGCTCGCGCAGCTTCAGAGAGAGTTCTGAGGTAGAGAGAGTTCTAAAAGGTGCTTGAGACAGGACCCTGCAGCATAGATCGAACTGTCCACCGCTCCTGTGGCGAGAATCGGAGGCAAGAGGTGGGGTATGATAACGAGCACCACTCATGTCTGCTGGCCAATCTCTTGCAGCTGTCAGATCTTGTCATGTCCACCGTGGACCAACTGAGTCGGACTCGCCCATCCTGGAGCACTTACGTGATGCCCCAGTGAATTCCCTGAATTCCAGATATGCGTCTCCCTGTCACATTGCAGCAGCAACAAGCAGCTTTTCATGATAATCAGAACTGATTTCTCCTGCCGGTACGGGAACTCCTTCCTTGCCTGGTAGTCTCCCATCTTGAGACCAAAATGCCCAGGCCGCCGACTTGCTACAGTTTAGCTTCCATGGAAGCTTTACTGTGCTCAGGTCAAAGCAATCATCTGGAACCAGAATTTTCAATCCATTAGAACTTAGAGTCACAGGACTGACGGGTGCTGATGGTGGTGGTGAGAAGGGCAATCCTACTTTTATCCCTTCATCCCTGGACCCATGAAGTCTGGCTATTAGAGACACAGCACTCTGCACCAGCCAGCAGTTCATCCTGAAGGACAGAATCCCCAAGCTCATGCCTTTTTGAAACCTTGAATAAGCCATCCCAACGTTCTTACTGCTTCCAGGTAATGGGAGAACCCACTGTATGGGTGGGACAATGGGTGCCCTTTGTCATACTTCCTTTGCCATAAAATGGGTCTTTTGGTGCAAGACAATGTTAATCTGGGGTCCCATGCCTATAAATGAAGCACTCTGTAAGCACTCAGACCACTGCCCTCACAGACGCACAGCAGGTGTGGAGTGGAAACCCATATCCAGGATTGCTGTCAGCTCCAATAGGAAAAGATTGCTCCTCCTTCCAGAATGGACTGTGTCCAGTGTAATTTACTTGCCATCAAGTGGCTGGCCATTCAAACATATCAAAAATAGAGCTCCTGATATTCTCTCTCAAACCTGCTTTTCCTTGATTTTCCCCATAGTAACTTATGGCAACTCTATCCTGGTTGTTCAGGCTAAAAACTTTGGGAACACCCTGGACTGCTCTCTTTTTCTCACATTCTACTGCTGATGCACTAGCAAATCATGTTGGCTCAGCTTTCAGAATATATCCAGAATATGGCTTCTCCTTCCCCATTTTCACCTCCCACTCCAAATTTACCTCTGTCAACTTTTATCTGGATTATTGGAATAGTCCTTAACTGGTCTTCCTGCTTCTGTTTCTAGCCCCACGAAGTCTATTCTCAACGTGTCATCTCAACCCAATCAACCCTGTTAAAACACAATCATATTATGTCATTCCTCAGTTCAAAACTTTCCAACGGCTCCCAGTCTCAATCAGAGAAAAAGTCAAAGTCCTTACAAGGGCCCATGTATTCCCTATGTGATCTGAGTCTCTGTGGCAGACAGACTCCCAGGAGTCCTCATGCCTTTGTGTGTCCATGCCTTTGTGTGATCCCCCCCCCTTTGACTGCTGGTGGGAGCTGTGACTGGCTTCCCCCCAACAGAATACAGCAAAGGTGTCAGATGTCACTCCCGTGATTACATTTATGTCACTTTATGTAGCACTCCTCTGCTAGCAGACTCTCTCACTCTCCTGCTGGCCTTAAATAAGCAAGCTGCCATGTTGTGACCTGTCTATAGAGTAGGCCATCTGGTAGAGAATTCTATGCAGCTTCCAAAACTGAGAGTGGGCTCTGCTGAGGCCCAACAAGAAACCCCTACAGCTCTCAGTCTTACAGCTGCAAGGGAATGAATTCCAACAACCTGAGTGAGCTTGAAAGTGGATCCCTCCCTAGTTGAGTCTCCAGATGAGAACACGGCCCCACTGCCACCTTGACTAGAGCCTTGTGAGACCTCAGCAGAGGACGTTAGGCTGAGAATGGACTCCTGGCCCAAGAAAACTGTAAGCTAATAAATGGGTGTTGTTTTGAGCCTCAAAGTCTGTGGTCATTTGTTAGCAGCAACAGGTAACAAACGTAGTCCTGTTACTTTTCTGAACACATCCCCTCCTACTGTCCCCATCATACACTCTGCTTGAGCTACTTAGTCTTCTTCGTTGTGTCTCGCACGAGCCAGGTACGTGCCCATCACAAGACCTTTGCGTGTGAAGTGTTCCTCAGCTTGGGATGTTCTTCCCTAAGATGTACACATAGCTCTTTGTCCTCACACACTTCTTGTTTTCACATAAAAGCCATCTTCTCAGTAGGCCAGCTTATCTAGAACTTTACAGCCTTCCCTCATCCCGTAACTTCCTTCCCTACTTTATGTTTTCTCCTTGGAATTCATCTGTAACTCCATGCTATACCTTACTCTATACTTTAATGCTTTATCCTACTTACTGTTTTTTCTCTCTCCCTAGAACGATAGCTCCACGAGGACTGGGATCTTTGTGGTTTTGCTATATTCACCCCACAGCGAATCCAGTGTGTGTGGCGGTGTGATTCCTTTCTGCCACGCTAACTCACTCTGCAGCAGGTACAGATTTAGAACATATCTGGGTTTAGCCAGGGTTGGCGTATGATGAGAAGGGCAGCAGGGCAGACAGGCCGTGTGTTTTCTGAGGAGCGGTGACGCGACAAGATCAAGCGTAGGAGGGAAGGAGGGACATTCAGGAAGTGGTGTGTAATTTGAGGTTTCATTAAAATCCGGGAATTCCTGGGCTGGGATTACTAGATATGCAGGAGACTAGGAGGTGATGTTTGGAGAGGTGGCGTTTGAAACTGAGATGGTGGAAATGCGCTGGGTAATAACAAGGTCTAGGACGTGGCTTTGTGATTGGGTGGCTGAGATGAGGTGGAATAAGAGATCAGCGGCTGCAAAAGAGTCAGGAACTGAGAGACCAGTGTGTTGGGTGGATGGTGTCTGAAATTCTGAAGTCTCCAAGAATGGTGTGAGGGTTGAGAGAGAAGTGACTTACGTGTTCAAGCCACTGAAGAATAAGGCACACAACAGAGAGATTGGCAATTCATAGCTGTGATTTAGGACAACTGCAAGAGGGAGAAACCACCTTCGCCTGAAAGCTGAGGCAAACAGGAGTCCTGTGGGGGGTAGCCAGGTTTTTGTTAGATCAGGGATTGGAAAGCTACCACCCTTAGGCCAAGTCTGGCCTGCCCCTGGCTTTGTATATAAAGTTTTATTGGAACACTTTGTTGACGTATTTTCTCCAACTGCTTTTGCACTAGAATGGCAAAGTTAAGTAGTTGCAACAAAGACTGTATGGCCCCCAAAGCCTAAAATAGGTACTTCCTGGCCCTACACAGGAAATGTTTGAGTTAGAGCAAGAAGAGGAATGGAATGTTCTGGTACACTAGGACTTTGTTGATAATGGACTATGAATTTCAAAGGGAACTTTGGGAATGATTTAGGAGGAGGGAGAAAGGTGGAAGATGAGGTCAGATGAGGGCATTTTAGGGCAACCTGGCCAGTGATGGTGATCTTGAGGCTTAGGCTTCGGATGGTGACTGAGGCAGCCAGGGAGGTGAGAAGGTGCGATGAGCTGGATCTCCAGCACACCCCAGGCTGGGGACCTCCCATGCATGGAGGTGCTGAAGCAGCTCTGGGAGCCTGCAGCCACTGAAGACCTTGGAAGCTTGATTTGCCTTCGGCTGATGCTTGGGAGCCCGCAGCAGTAAACATCTCTGGGCTCTGGGCTTGCTAGCATCTGATCTGGGGTCATCCCGCACAGCACAGGCACTACCAAATTCCTGAACGTGTTCCTGGAACACAGAGGAAGGGGTGGAAGGAAGGAGAGAGGGAAAGAGAGAGAGAGAGAAAGAGCACGCAAGCAGAGCAGGCAGGCAAACCAACAAGCCATATAAATAAAAGTTAAAGTGACAACTCTGGGTTACATCTATTAGTTCTAGAAATTCATAAGCCAGATCAAATGCTAGCTGGCATGGATTTCATATTAAAAAGTCTCTTTATGACCTGAGACAATCAAAGTAAGGAATCTTATTATCATCAGTGCTAGGACCTCTTCCAGGACCTAAAAGATCCATGGCTCAGTGACAGCAAGATACAACGTGTATCTTACTCTCCTTTAATCTATTATCCCTCTAATCAACTACCTGGAGCCCTAGACAGTGATTAGGGTGCTCTTTTAAAACCTACCCAGACTCTTAACTGTGTCAGAACTCTTGCAGGATAAATGAGTAACACATGGCCGCTGGCTAGCCCTGGCAGAACTGCTTTCCCGCTGTTAACTACAACTTCTACCTGTCTCAGCCACAGGCAACCTTTCCCACCTTCCATCCGAATAATGATGGGGGAAGGCATTGCTTCTGTGTCAGCCCCATTGCGCGGAGAAGTCCACGCTCTACTGCTTTGAGTCCTCTTTTCTGGCTTCCCATGAGGATGCACGGTTTTGTTCCCCGCCGCCCCCCCCCCCCCCCGAGAAACTTAACCCAAATTCCCAGTAGGGAACCGCCAATTCTAGAAGATTCCACCAGTTAATGACTGCATTTTAATACATTTCCGTCTTCATAAGAGTAGAACGGCTCCCTCCCTTCCCTCGCAGTCCCGGAGCTGTCTGCTGGATTCGCACACTGTTAAATATTTCTCAGCTTTGCTGCCTTAGCAAAGGTTTCTCCCCTACAAACTTGCTCAGAGCAAAGGGCCACTGAGCCAGGAAAAATAAAAACAAGATTCTGGAAAGATTTAATAGAAATTTTCAGCCGGGTTGATCGGGTTTCGTCATAGAATGCCTGACATTCCTCAGGGAAACCTAATTTAAAGGCAGAGAGTGAAGTCACTCTGAGAGCCGCAAGTTCTGAGAGCCAAAAATGACATCTAAAAATCATATTTGTAAATGTACCCGGAGGCTATGGCGTGATGGGCACCCTTAGGAGCAGGGCCCTAGGCATCTGCCTGTGCCTCTGGCTGCTTATGTTGATTGACTGGAAATAGCAACAGCAAGTTTTCACCTAGGTTTCTACCATCATTCCCCCCAGCTACAAATGTTACTCCCAACCCAAGGATCAAAGTGATTTCTCTTACAGGGAACGTCTTCCATCCCCTTCATGGGCAAGTCCACATTTTGCTACAGTGCACGGTCTGTTCTCTTTGGAGCCAATGAATTTCTGTTATCATTCTTACAGCGGCCGTCTCCTGTGTTATTATATTTACTTTTCTTTGCTTCCTCATGTCTGTGTGCTTTCTCTATCTTTCCTGCCCATTCCTACCCGTTCCTTTGGGCCTGTTCCTACCTAGGAGAGGAGCAATTAATTCTAACAGAATGTGTAATATTCTAGGGAGAGGAAACGGGAAACAGGATAATATAGTCACTTGGTATGTTCTGAGACCTATGAGCAGTTTACTGTGGCTGAAGCAAAGATATGTGCAACATGGGTCAGACTGTGAACCTTTATCCTACAGGCAGAGGTCAGTCATGACACATTCCCTGACAGTGACATAACTAGGTCAACACTGTAGAATAATCTCTGTATTAACGAGGTCTCTAATAGTTATTTGTGGTTGCATATTAACAAATCATTCCAAGATGTAGACACTGAACATAACAAAAAATTTGCTATTTTATAGTTTCCGTGGGTGAGGAATCCAGCCCAACCTGACTGAATGCCTCTCTTCAGAGTCTCTCCCAAGGCTGCAATCAAGGGGTCAGCCAGGATGGCAGCCTTCTCAAGCCTCAATGAGGGGAGGATCCAATTCTAAGGTAACTCAAGTGGTTGTTTGGAGGACTCAATTCCTCACTGGCTGGCTATTGCTTGGGGGCCTACCTTACTTCCTTGACACTTCTATCTGGGTTTTTCTATGGGATACCCACTTTCCGTGGGTTTCTCCACAGAGCGCCTCAAAATATGGCAGCTGGCTCCATCAGCATGAGAAACTGAGAGAACAAGTAAGACTTGTTCTCTTTTTGCAACCTAATCTCAGAAGGGATATCATGTTATTTTTGATGTGTTCTGTTCATCAGTAGGAAGTCACTAGGTCGAAACTCTCCTCAAAGAGAAAGGATTACACAAGGACATGAACACCAAGAGGTGGAAATCACTGGAACTCATAAAAAAATAAGAAGGGAACCAGGAGACCGTAGTGTCCAGAATCCAAGAAGAAGATTTCAAAAAGTAGGAAGTTATACATAGCATAGAGGTGTCAATGCTCTCTAGCCAAAGCCTGCCAGGAACCTACTTGTAGTTGAACAAATTGGGTGTATTACTTGTTGCAGGAGGGAAGGCACACACCATGGGGAACCATGGGGTATCTCAGCAAAATGTTGTTAGAAGCTATATTGGATCTGGACTTTGGATGAATGATTGGGGTGGGGGGAGTCTAAGGAAGCAGGGGCTCACTGTGGACTGGTTGGTGTCAGAGAGTAGGGTCAATTCTATGATCGTATATCTCAACGAGTCTTATCTACAGGGAGGAAGAACTAGAAGGAGGATAAAGTTGTAATCGGTCAAGAAGCCATCACTCATTTTGGCTGAGAGAGGGGATGGTTGGCATTTTGTGGTGGCACAGTTACCTTGCTATTGTCTCTTCTGAAAATTATGACGTAGCCTTGTTGGGGCTCATTTTACCATGGTCTAAGGGTGGCATTGTATGAGGTCACTGTTCTCTAAGACCATTTATGTCCAATAGGAGGATAACATGACCTAGCCATGAGTGCCAAGCCAGCTTCAGAATGTCAGGGGAAGACAAGCAGTGGTTAAGAACATGGCTCTGGAACCAGACTACCCGGATTCAAGTCTGGACTTCACCGCTTACTAGCTCTGTGACCCGGGTCCATTGGTAAACCTCCTCCGTGTACTTTAATTTTCCCCCCTTAGAGTAGAAATTGTAATAGTGTCTATCTCATTAGCTTGTTACAAGGATACATGAATTAATATACATGTAAAATATTTAGAACAAAACGGGCATGTGACAACTGTCTCCATGCTGATTATCATTATCATCCATGACCCTTGAAGGAGCAATGTTGTTAGAGTAGTAGAAGGCAGAAGCCAGACTGCCATGATCAAAGATAAATGGTAGTTGATGGAGTAAGGTCATCATGTGCCAGACAGCCCTTCAAGAGGAATCATGACAGGAAGATCTGGAAATCGTGCAGTAAGGGGAAGGAAATTGGTTTATCCAAGGTCAGTATACAATAGTGCCTCTCAAAGAGTGTTAGAAATGCAAAATCTCGTGCCCTCCAGGGGATTCTTTTATTTCAATACCTTTGCGGAAGTAGAACTGACATAAAGTAAATCGCACCTATTTAAAATCTAAAATTTGGTAAGTTTTGACATAGGCACATGTCATCAAACCATTACCAGATCAATCAATAATGAACATCTTCATCACCCCTTGGTAATCCCTCCCTTCTGTCCCCCGGCCCCCCATCACTATCCCCCCGTGGTTCTGATGCTGACATGTGAGAACCACAGGGGATGTGAAACAAATTCTGTTATGAAAAGGACCTAGAGTTATGGCTCAAAAAATAGTAATAAAGATGAAATCCTAACAGTGAGGAAAGGAAGGAAATGGGAGACACGTGTTGAGATCAGAGTCTGGGAAAGGCAGAGGAGGCCTGCCAGCCCCAAGGCTGCGAACAGGGCATTTGCTGAGCTCTTTCACTGGACCAGGAGCGCAGGGAGCAGTGAGGACATTCAAGGAGCTTTTCGAAGGCCACCACTCATGCGCTTCTGCTAGGAGCGTGTTTCAACTCCAGGTCTCTGATCATGGCACACCCCTGCTTGAAACCATTCAGTAGATTCTCTTTTCAACAAGGTGCAGTAAAAACAAATAGGTAAACAAACAACAACAAAACTTCAGCCTGACTTTCAAGACTTCATGCAATCTGGCGCTCCTACTACCTGGCGCTTTATTCTACTGGACTGTCCATCACTTCCTGTGAACAGCAAAGGAAAATACATCACGAACCAGCGTAGTGCAGCTTTAAGAATGGAAAGGCTTCAAGTTGGTATTTTGAAATAGGGTACCCATTAGGTTTCTCAAACTGAACTATGCAGGTACCACTCACTTTATCTCCTCATAATGCCTGCTGTGCATGATCTACAACCATCTGTTCTCAGGAACTGAAGATGGTAAATCACTTCCCCACATTTGTTAGGAGACAAAACGTTCCCCATCTTGACTTCATGTGGACAAGTTCTGAAAGTGACAAAGTCAGGAAACACTGATTCATGCTCCGTCTCCCGGAGCCAATCTAGATCTCTACAATCTTAAGTATTTCCCCCTCCGTCCTGTAGGCCCAGTCTTAGTTTTAATACAGTCATTTCCGTCCTTATTATAATCTGATACACGGTGTTCAGTTTGCAAGTCTAAGTCAATGGACTAACTATTCGCTCAGTGGGCTAGTAAAATGGAGGAATGGTATGTTACCCCACGCCTCTGTCTGATTGCTCCAAGTCTAAATGTACCTCCGACTAGCAATACTCACTGCCCCCACTGTTTTGCCCTCCCCAGCCGCAGGCAGGCTGCTGCCGATCTCCTTTGGTGCCTCTTCTTCTCACCTCTCCCTTTTCTTCTTTACTTTCGATCTATTTCACGCTGACATTCTCCTTTGATCCATGTATGCTTTATAGACCCTTTGTCTCTGTTCTTGTACTCAACTTCTGTCTGTGTTATGTGCTTCAATTTCAAATCACCAGGAACATAAGCTGCATATCACTGTTTTCCTCCTTTAGTTACAAAAGCAAAGAGAAAATAACAAGGAACTCATCTTTCTCCCTGAGTGAAGCCTCATTCATGCAGTTAGTCAGTGGGTCTGTTGCTCAACACCAGCTGGAGTGAACACTGGACACGATCATCTTAATGAGGGAATTTCTGATGCAAATGAAAAGCATATGCTTGCGGGAAATAGCCTGGAAAAAACATGGCAAGATACCCATCAGTAGGAAAATCAAACTTAGTAACAGTATTCTCGTTGTTTTGATATCATGACAATACTCAGCTTTCCACAGAATCCTAGAATTTGTCCTTGAGACGATGACTTTGGAGTTCTCAACTCCAAATGGGAAATATCTTTGATTTGGGTCATTCATAAGCAGTGAGAGATTCAGCTAGCTGAAGTCAGAACAGCTCTTCGGCAAGAATGCCCCTAGAAGGCAGCCTCATGGTGAAGGATTCTGCCGTTCTTTGCAGGTCACTGTGTCTGTATCTATCTGTTTCTCCCATTGTTGTGAGGAGCATCCATGGCTGTAGAAGGCATAAACTATCCGAAATGAAGAAATGAACACATAACCAGAAATGTGAGTGTACATATAAGAGCGGCTTAACAAATGTCACAGACCAGCTTGGAGAGCAATGATCCACTATTCGTTCCTAGAAAAGCATTAAGCTCTTTCCCACTAGCCCTATTCTCTTTTGAACTCTTTTATCAACTTGTCACTGTCCCTGATTACATATGCAGCCTGCAGAACCTAGAACGAATGATCGTCCAGGCTCTTACTTGTTCCAACGACCAGAAAAGTCTTTTCAAAACAAAAAACACTTATTTATCTCTTCAAACCCCAGGGAAAACTGAGAGTTTGACAGCCAATCAAGCTTAAAAGGCAAATGTGCTTCGCCTAAGAGGGAAAGGTGATGGCACGTTTTGCACATGCGGAAATGCAGACTGAAGCCTATCAGGGAACCGGAAGTAAAACTTGAAGACTTAATATTAATGCCTCCTGAGTAGATCTTCATAACATGACCTCAGTATTTCATTTGATATGAATTCCCTGAATAACAAATATATCCAACTTCATATTGCAATTCAAAATTTATTTTCCAAACCCAAATAGAAATAATCTTTAATATCCATGCTATTATCTTTCAATAAAAATAAAGGTATTTTTCCTTATGCATTTGTTAATCAGAACATTTTAAAACCTAGCTGATTTTTAAAAAATGTATAATTTCATAATATAATATAAAAGCAGTGTCAGTAAAAAATACCTCATCTTTATTATGACATTGACATTTTTTCTTCATGAAGAGAAGTAAGATAAAGCCAATACTATTTTAGCCTTCCTCCCTTATGAACTCAATGAATTCATAAAGATAAATACCATAAACAAACATTAGTGATCGTGCAGTATATATTACAAGGGATTTCATTTTGATCTGACAGGAGGTTTGGTTTCACAATATTTTAAAAATTATTATAAAATTTCAGAGGTTTTTTGTTTTTAATTTTAGCTTTTCAGCTGATATAACATTTTCTTTCTCTATTATTCATGAGCTTTCTTCCTTTCTTTTTTTATTCTCTGAACTACACTTGTTTTCTGAGACTGGATCTCTACCAACCATGTATAAATCTACTTTCTATGTTTCTCCCCATTCTCAATTGTAATGGATCCTTGAATTGTAGCCCTTTGGGAAATAAGATTCAACGGTCCATAATCTCAAGTAGTCTTCATGATATTCTGAAGCAAACACATGACAAATTGTCAAATCTGGAGGTGAGAAAGGGAATACTTGCAATAGCCCCATTTGAGCTGTTATAGACATCAAAGTGTTTTGCAGGAATCCAAAGATACCCCCAACACGGAATGCCAGTGATGTGATTTTACATGAGCTGTACCATTGCTCAGAGCTATGGCTTCCTCACATAATAATGGGACCCCACGTTTGTGCAGAAAGTGGATATGAGGACTAGAGCATGAGTAGAACTTGAAACCACCCAGCCAGAGTAGGAAAATTGTATCAGCAGTTCGAATACACCAA